ATGGCAGTAAACCTCTCCCCCCTGTGGAGATAAATCGAGAAAAACTCTACTTTTAAAACCCCCCAAAAAAGTGGCGGGAATTGACGGATATTCTAGAATGTCACCCAGGGCCTATGGGTTAAGCATACACTAAGCATCGGCGTTGATCAAGCCCGGGCAGCGGAGTGTTTTGAAGTACATCAATGTGATTGGCTTTTTACATCCTGCGATGAGACGTCACCGCCGCATTGCCGCCGAGAAGACAAAGTACAGTTGTAGTGTGCACCGAGGTGCCTAATTATATACCAAACGAAGCATTTGCACAGTCAGCGGTCAATATTAACCATTCATTTGGTAGATAATTAGGCACTTAGGCACCTACTACATTGTCTTCTCAGTGGTAATGCGGCAGTGGTGCTTCTTCCCCGGATGCAAACAACCAATCATACTGTATTGTCATTTTTCATACCACTCTGCCTCTTTCTCTTCCACGCTCCGGTCGATGCCAGTGTACGTTTATGAATTGCAGGATCTGGGTGGCTACTCTCATGTCCACCAAAAAATGTAAAATTACATTACAGTGAACCCTCACTTTACGCGGTTAATTCAACCCACGGTGGCCCGCGTAAAGTGAGAAACGCGTAAAGTGAACAGCATAACATATGGGATTAATTGAAATAGAGACCGGGCCGACCCCCAAACTCCACTTTTTCCTGACACTATACGTACGTTTTACTAAAAATAACATCTTAACTTTATGATGGTATTCACCCACACATAATATAGAAGGGAACAGTCAATAAACTGAAGGTTAGGTTAGAAAAAAAAACAAGGTTTGGGTTAACACTTACGTTATTATAAGGGATGGGTCAGCGTACGGGAATGGAGGCTGGTTCCGAGGCAGAGGGCAGGCTACTGGTCCTCAGGTGAGTCACCATCACTGTCATCCACACTTGTCAGGGCCTCCCTGACAAATCCCTCAAAGTCATCATCACTGTCTCTACCTCTGTCACTATCACTGGCTTGGGCTGGCTGTGGTGGGTTGCGGGCGAAGAACTCTGTTATGCTTTGCTGACGGCTGGTGTTTATGTTGTCGTGATAAACCTTGATGTAGGGCCCCATAGTCTGCAACAGCTGGGTAGTGAAGATTTCATACCTGTTTGCGTCAGGGTCGTCGAAAAGGAGGAGCTTGGCTTTCTCGATACACTCAATGGCATCCCTAACATTACTATGGGATAAGCGGCGTTCTTCTTGGGATGACGCACCACCTGCCTCTTCACTGACGTCATCATCATCTGCCATGTCGTTGGTAGTCACATCAGGATACCTTATCACCTCCAGGATGTCGTCGTTGGTGGTCTCGGAGAAGCCTGCAGCTGTAACACTCTGCGCAGCTTCTCTGGCAAGGTCCACTGCTACTGCAATAGTCTGAACCTCACCAGTCACAGATTGACTCTGCCTAATGCCCGGAATGCCTTGCAACACATGTCTCCATGCGTGACGAATAGTTGCTACAGACAGTTGATCCCATACCTCCACCAAGAAGTCCACAGCTTTCTTGACGTTGAATATTCTCCAGAATTGTTTTAAAAGTACTTCTTGCTCTGCCAACTGTTGATCCTCGTGCTATCGGTGTCGGTGTCACTCAGGTTACGCAACTCTTCCCTGGTGTTGGTGTAGTCGTTCAGGAGCTTGAATTTTTTAGTAGAGAATGCAGCTTTTACATTACAGATTAACTCTTGGTCCATGGGCTGTAATATAGACGTAGTGTTGGGAGGAAGGAAGACCACTTTTACGTTGGGGTGACGATCTAACAGTAGGGGCGAGTGTCCTGGTGCGTTGTCCAGCAGCAACAAGATCTTGAATGGCACATTCTGTTGCTCACAGAATTTCTTCACATCGGGAACGCAACAGTCATCAAACCAGGAGAGGGACAGTGTAGAGAACATCCACGCCTTACGTGCGGTCAGCCAGTGGACATTTAGCTTGGTCATGTCCATGCTCTTGTAGGCGTGCGGCTTGCGTGCTGTGTGGATCACTGATAACTTGAGCTTACAGGTACCGGAGGCATTGGTGATAAACAGGTCAGTGATGCGCTCCTTCTGCAACTTCCGGCCCCGACACTTGCTGGCAATCTTCACAACGAAGGTCTTGGAAGGTAGTTTTTTCCAGAAAAGACCAGATTCGTCCATGTTAAACACCTGGTTGTCGGTGTACTGTCCTTCCTCCATAATCTCACGTAAAAACGGAGGAAATTCCCTTGCCGCAACACGGTCAGCACTCGCTTCTTCACCACCAATGTTGATATTGGTGATCTTGTTTCTCCTCTTAAACCTCTGTAACCACCCAGAGGAAGCATTAAAGGGTTTGGGCTCTGTAATTCCCATCTTTCGTGACACTGCAGCATACAGTTCACGTGCGTACTCCTTAACTGAGCGCGTGTCCACCGCCATGTTCCGTCGCGCCTGACGCACCAAGTCGCTCTCAAGTAATTTTTCCGTCTTGAGAAGCACCTGGTTGTGGAAATACTTGATCATAGAAGCACCTGTAGACTTTGTGATGTTCATGTGCTCCTTTATCTTGGCTGCATCCTTCTTTATCGTCCGAATCGTAGATTCGGTCACACCATGCTGGCGCGCCAAATCAACCTGTCTTGTTCCTTTCTCCAACTCTTGGATGATCTTGTACTTCACCTCGTAGCTTAAGGAACGGCGTGTCTTCTTTGGCTTAGGGCTGCTGGGTCCAGGTAAGGAACGGTTTCTCTCTGGGGGCGGTGGTCCGGCGGAAGCCATTTTACAGAACAATGGATGCACGTTTACACGGTGTGGCCTGGAGGAATGAAACTGCCGCGGTTAGTTCAAGCGTCGTCTTTCCTCCCTCCCTCCTGCGGGTGGACACGTCATATTACTTTAAACCAATCACAGCCAGCAGCGGATGGAGGTAAGGATGCATGGCCCAATTACAGTCCGATACGTCATATGACGTCACTGATAACGCAACAAAGACACACACTGCGCAACCTACTCGCGCCGCTTACACAACATGGCGGATGGTGGGAGGATTGGATCCAAAAATGGCGCGGCTCGCCAGCCGCTCTCCGCGTAAAGGGGTACACGCACCGGCGAATGTGAGCATTCTGGTTTCGGCAGGGTACCGAGTAAACGTGGAAACGCGTAATGTGGGACCGCGTAAAGCGGGGGTTGACTGTATATCAGAGTACTGTACGTTCTTTCTGTTTAATATGCCAGGGGGTCTGGGGGGGCAGAGCCTTATGGCTAGAAAGTCAGATAAGGTTAGGTAGGTTTCTTTGTTTAGGTTGGTGAGGTCTTCTGCTGCTTGTTTTTTTATAAACTAAGATTAAGTTAGGTTTAATTTAGAGATAATCACTTTTTAACACATTTGTCCAAACTATGACAGTGTCTACTATAAACATAATGACATTGTAGTGTTTTTAAATTGTTTTCTATGAAAAATCTGTGGTGGGTCAGTCAATGATAATTACCATTAAAAATTTATATTTTGGGTTACATTATTTCCATTGTACATTTACAAAGAAATAATTTTTTATCATATAAGGTAAAATTATAATTGTGTACTGTATATTCAGAGTTTAGATTGGTGTACCTATTGTACTTATTTTGGCAGAGGTTATTTGACCGGTGTAGTAATCTGAAATCTCCCTCAGTTTCAGTGATCCCTTTGTTGATAAAGCTTAAAAGTCTAGATTATTTTGTCGACACGATTAACACCAGAAAAAATAATAAAATTGAACCAAAATTTGTGAAGGGACTAATATCTTATTCACGAAACTGGAAGCAAGAATGTACAAAACCTAACAGAACCTGACCTATATCCTTTCAACGCTAACCTGGCCCGTGAGCCACACCCCTCTTCTTTAAAAATAGCTGATTGGTTCATAGAAAATGTTGTGTAGCTGTCCATTTATTCAAACTAAAATGTTCACAATTGGTAAGTAGACCTCTTATTCTCTAAAAATACTGTTAAATAACTGGACTATCAAAATGCAAATGTTTTCAAGGCATTAGCACTTCAGAGAGGATGTTACAAAATGTTTAATATTTATCTTAAAATGTCAAAATCAAAGATGAAATTTGCTTTTGAATGAAGTCTTTTCATATTTCTTTGTTTTATACCAAACTTAAAGCAAACAGAAACAAATGATACCAAACGTATAGCACAATAGGTAATGATCTACAGTTTTTATGGTTGTACTGTATATATCCCAAATTATTTATATAACTAATAAAAGTTGATGTAAATACAGTAACTCTCGATTTAACAGGATACGATGTAACAAACTTTCGATTTAGTGAAAATAATTTTTTTCATTATTTTTCACGTGATTTAGTGGACTAGTACACACCTACGGAGACACCTCAGACACTTTATTCTTGGCTAGGGGGTTTGGTGTTTGTTTTAAATTATTTTGATAATTTCCAAACTTTTTCCAATTGATAGCCACACTCTTTTGACTTTCTACCCCACACCACTTCCTTTCTGAGACTTCCGAGGGACTTTTGGCACGATGTCTGTTACAGTAGTTAGTTGACCGAGATTTAGACCAAGAGGTAGCAGTGAACAACACATGCGGTGGCAGCAGGACACCAAGTGGCGCATTTGGCGCAGAATTTAACGGTATCATGCTCGATTTAACGAACCATTTCGCTAAATCGAGCAAATATAACGGAAATTCAATTTAGCGGAAATTTTGATATAATGGAAAGCGGTGGGACGCCATAAAACTTGCAGGCTTCCCATCCTGGCCTTGAAATTGTTTCCAACTTTAAAACTACCTGCAGACATTCTTGGGTACATCCAGGGTGTCATCCGCAAACTGTAAGGGCATGCTGTACTGTACAGGTATTCACATATAAATCTGAAATACTGGTACAATATCAGTACTGGACTGTATGTCCCATTCTTGTGTTTATTATTTCTTAGGTATCTGGTCTTCAGAATATTAGAACAATGACCTATTCTAGTATACTTTCCCTTAACAGGCTCACCTGGCCAGGAGCCCAGCAGCCACGAGTGGATTAGCTTCAATCAGCCAACATCGTTATGCATCTCATGAGGCAGACTTGGTGGTGATCGGCTCTGGCCCTGGTGGCTATGTGGCAGCTATCAAGGCTACACAGCTGGGCATGAATGTGAGAAATTTTTTTTTTATGACATTGATAGTACAGTACAGTGTATTAAGGATAGCAATAGGATTTCCTAGTACAATACTGTATGTTGAAGAAAATCAATCCGGTGTCCTTTCTTGGCAGCCATGGCTGTTCAATGCAAATGTATTTGGATTTTCACTCGCCTCCGATTTTTTTATCTATTCGGGCACACAGGTTTTAATCTCACTTGTCCATCCTTGTCTCTGCCCTCCCCTGGCCCTCCAGCCCTCATTTTTGCTCATTGATATCTCTACCATTATTTCCTCATCCATAATTATATGACCAGAGTATTTTTTTCCTTATTTTATAAATTTCTCTCATTGTTCTAATTAGTCTCAGTGCTTTTTAATTTTTTTTATCAGTTTAACTTGATCCAAAGTATTTTTCAGTATTTTGGAGGCCTTGAGCCTCATGTTGGCTGTTGATGTGTCTGTATAAAAGTAGTGACCATACATAGTACTTCACCATTCTTTTTATCTAACTTAAATTACCGGTAATGTCCCATAACTAGATACAGTAGTACCCCGCGTAAGGTCAATTGAACCCACAGGGTACCGCGGAAAGTGAAAACCGCATAAAGTGAACAACAGAACATATGGGATTAATTCCAATAGAGACTGGCCCGACCCCCAAACTCCACTTTTTCCGACACAATACCTATGTTGTAGTAAAAATAACATCTAAATTTTATGATGGTATGCTCACACAATTAATATTTAAGAGAAATACAGTCGCCAGGTTAATGTCCATTCAAATAATGGACTCAAATCCCCCCCCCCCTCTTCCCAGCTCACTAGCTCCTACCTCTCTGAGAAATGATTGGGTGAAAACACTAGATTTTAACGTTTAGTAATAAATAATACCTCAGACTAAAGTTAGGATAATATAATTGACATTTCTGGATTCCTTGCAGGTCAGGGAATATTTTGAATGTAAACTTCATATATTTTGCACAAAAGATAAAATATTTGCTTTGTGTAAACCAAATTATTACATTAGATCTAAAATTTGTATGTCTAATGCAAAATCCATGATGTTTATATTCAAAATGATCATCATATTGTAAGAATTCCAGCAATGTAAATTATATTCTGGTCGAGTAATTTGTATGAATTTTATGAGCTAAAACAAATATCTTCAGTTAATAAAAAAAAATATTCTTCACGACACTATCTGTCAATCAAAGTACCCCACCTTGCCTCCCCCCTCCTCACACTCACGCCAGCTGGGTCGGTCGGTCCCAACCCTCCCCCCCACCTTCCCTCCCTACCAGAGAAATGATTGGGTGAAAATACTAGATTTTAACTTTTAGTAATAAATAATACCTCAGACTAAAGTTAGGATAATATAATTGACATTTCTGGATTCCATGCAGGTCAGGGAATATTTTGAATGTAAACTTCATATATTTTGCACAAAAGATAAAATATTTGCTTTGTGTAAACCAAATTATTACATTAGATCTAAAATTTGTATGTTTAATGCTAAATTCATGATGTTTATATTCAAAATGATCATCATATTGTAAGAATTCCAGCAATGTAAATTATATTCTGGCCGGGTAATTTGTATGAATTTTATGAGCTAAAACATATATCTTCAGTAAATAAACAAAGAAATATTCTTCAAGGACACTATCTGTCAATCAAAATACTCCGCCCTAGCTGGGTCAGTCCCTCCCTCCCTCTCTCCCTCCCTCCCTCTCTCCCTTCCTACCCCCCACCCCCCACCTTCCCTCCCTACCAGAGAAGCTTTGGGAGAAAATAGTATACAGTATTTACATTTATAGTAATAAATAATAATTCAGACTAAAGTTAGGATATTATAATTGACATTTCTGGATTCCTTGCATGTCAGGGAATATTTTGAATGTAAACTTCATATATCCTGCACAAAGGATAAAATATTTGCTTTGTGTAAACCAAATTATTACATTAGATCTAAAATTTGTATGTCTAATGCAAAATCCATGATGTTTATATTCAAAATGATCATCATATTGTAAGAATTCCAACAATGTAAATTATATTCTGGCCGGGTAATTTGTATGAATTTTATGAGCTAAATAAAAAAAATTAATACTTCACCGCGTATATGAGGCGTATATGAGTAGATGCACCGCGGAAAGTGAAAGTCCAAGTCCGGTTCTGGCAAGGTACCGCGTAAACGAGAAATCGCGGAAAGTGAAAGTGAAGTGAAACCGTGTAAAGCGGGGTAATACTGTACAGTTATTTTTTTAAATTGTGATGCTTTTTTTTTCACAGCTACCATCAGCCATCAACTTGTAGTTAGCAAAAATGTGTTCTAAGGCTTGTTACACATCCCATCTAAAAAAATTATGGAAATGACAAATACTTATGTTTATACAAAATTAACTCTACTCCCATATTCTTCACCCTTTTTCACCAATCTGATTGCTTATCAGCTTCTTCACTGCAGGTAACTGCAGTATGAGTACTGTAGTACCATCTGCACATATGAGTACTTGTACCTTTACCATTAACTTATTCCTTTATCTCGCTATTAATTTCTCATATGGGTGTATGTTATACATTACACTAACATCTCCGTTAGCCGGAATCCCTCAAACCCGGAAATCTCCGATAGCTGGAACTGAAATTTGCTCGGAAAATCATTCGCAAAGCTGGAATTTAAGAAAAAACATTATGCCTTTAGGAACAACTTTTCCAAGATTGAGAATCGAGAGAATTTTCTAAAAAGGTCTTGAATAAAGATGAAAGTTAAAGTATTTTTTGGGGGAGGGCCTGACCTGACTCAATGTCAGGTGGAGGCAGGGTGGGGGATTAGTGGTCTCGTATTACTGACCTGATGGAATGTCAGGTCACCCTTTCTTGGCTGAGGAATTAGTGGGTCTCATGACCTGAAGATGTCTTGAATAAACATGTAACCTAAAGTAGTATAAGTATAAATGGAGTGAGAAAGCAGAAAGGTATGTTTAATTAGAGAGTTGAAGTGGAAATGAGTGTTGCCAAGCACTCCTCAGGTGGTCCCCCATTTTAGTCAAGATCTTCGAGGGCTCATTGTATACTGTACAGTAATATCTCCGTTAGCCGGAATCCCTCAAACTCAGAACTCTCTAATAGCCGGAATTGAAATTTGCTCAGAATTTTTCTGGAAAATTTCCTAGATTCCGGGTTTGGGAACAAATTCCGAGGCTGAAAATCAGGAACATTTTCCGAAAAAAAATCTGGAAAATCCGTCCAAATTTTTATTTCTGGTTCTAGCAGTAAATCTAAGAAAATTGTGATACAATCACTCCAAACCTTCCTGCGAGGGGCCTAGGGACAAGGGTCCCTGGCGTTATGAAAGAGTGCATCATGTTTAGCCACATCCTCACATGGTTGATGCGTGGATGGGAAGACCATCCTCTAGGGTAATGCTGGATTTTTCTACTCATGGACTATAAATTATTACAACAAATATAAATAACTTGCATTGCTGGAATCGTTGCAAGATAGTGATTAATTTGAGTATAAACATCTCTTCGTTTGCACAAGCGATAAAATTTTTAGTCCTTTAGCATAGAACAAAATGAGTAGAGTAATATGCTGTTCAAAATTATGGCTTTTTCACAGGGAAAAGACTGTACAGTATAACAGTCCCAGTGGTCAGGGTATTATGGTATCGAATGTTACAAAGTTTTTGAATAAATTCTTTGTTTAGTTCTGTATAATTTAAGCACGCACACACACTCCCCCCAACAACCACCCACACACACTCCCTCCAACAACCACCCACACACACTCCCTCCAACAACCACCCACACACACTCCCTCCAACAACCACCCACACACACTCCCTCCAACAACCACCCACACACACTCCAACATCACACCCTCCCCACACACACTCCAACACCACTTATAGACCACTCATACACCCCCAACAAGCAAATTAAGCATCATGAGGGGTGAGGGTCTTATTGTATGACAAATATGCGTGTGTGTGACTGCGTGGTAGCGCGTTAAATATCAGCTGTTGAGGAGTGCTTGGCAACACTCATTTCCACTCCATTTCTCTAATTACCCACACCTTTCTGCTTTCTCATTCCATATTTTAAAATATTATGTAATGTGTGTAATGTTGAAGGGTTACAACTTTGCTCATTTATACTTATCACAATCTCCTAAAAAATACTTTAGGTTTTTTGTTTATTCAAGACATCTTCAGGTCATGAGACCCACTAATTCCCCACCCAAGAAAGGGTGACATATGAGACCACTAATCCCCCACCTTACCTCCACCTAACATTGCGTCAGGTCAGGTCAGGTCAGGTCAGTTACACGAGACCCAGTAATCCCCCACAGCTCCATGGGAGTAGAAAATAACAGTCTTTGCTGTACAAAGTTTCATTCGCATCCATATCATATAGATATTTAATTTTTAAATATTTTTATTTCACCAAATTTTTTGATAAATTATTCTGGATTATTAAAGTAAAGAAATGGAGTTTCTAACTTAATTAGAACTGTATTTACAGAGTCCGGTAGTTTCTGGGGAAGTGGGCTAATGTCCGTCTGTGCAGGATGTCTAGTTTGGACACTCGGAAACTTTTCACAGTAATCGGAAAAGATTCCGGGGATAAGGAATTTTTTCTGATTTTGAGAAAGTTGTGTGGTTAGCCGGAAATCTCTCATCCCCGGAAGTGCTCTGCATCAATTGTTTCGGCTATTGGGGACATCACTTTATACAGGTAGCTAGTGTTGGCTATAGCACACAACCTTGTCTTACCCCCTGTCTAAACCTAGTTGTATTAATATAGTTTTGAATATAGCATGCAGTCTTGTCTCACTTACTCATTATTTTTCAAGAAAAGTTAATTAATCTATACTTTTTACTCAAATTGCATAATTGCAAGGAACTGATTTTGCATTAGAAATTGACTCTACGTACAGAAATCTCCATCCTCAGCAATATTTGCCATAGTTTTGACAAGAGATATATAAAGCTTGCCAAATATCTAGAAATCTTTTACAGGTACTTTAACGGGCAATGTTCCGTGGATTTGGCATCCTGTGTATCGCCGACAAGGCCGTGGGCTCGTAGCACTCATCTTGCCCGTGGTGCCCACCATTTCTCTGTGGATATCGGTCACACTGGAATAACCCGTTATAGTACATCCTTTTTTTCTTCACACAGCCAAACTGTGGAATGCTCTGCCTTCTTCTGTGTTTTCATACTCATACAATCTATCTCACTTCAAAAAGCTGATTTTCTGGCATCTTTGTGGTGTAGATTAATATAATAATTTTCTTTTTACTCTTATTTTTTCACCCCCTAAGTCTAGTTGGGGGTCGATGATCTGTGCCCCGGTGGGCTTTTCCCCGTAAAAAAAAAATTGTGCCAGGCAATCCAACAAGTTTTACATAAATCAACTAACTTTAGCTTGAGTGAATACTTTAGCTAATGTAGATGTTTTATGATTTTTGTGTGTGTGTGTTTGTGGACCATTGAAAATATCTCTTAGGTTCCAAGCTGGCTGTGGAAATGTTGTTGCATCTTTGTATTTATTTTCTTTAGTATGTGAAATTTGTTCCAGAGGATTTTCAAACTGATTGTGTAATTTTTCAACAGACAGTTTGTGTGGAGAAGAATTCCACATATGGAGGGACCTGTCTCAATGTGGGCTGTATTCCATCCAAGGCTCTTCTCAATAACTCCCACTATTATCACATGGCGAAAAGCAAAGATTTTTTGGAACGTGGAATTGAGGTAAGATCCGTACAACATAAATAAAATGTTTTTGTAACTGTAAAACTTAGCACACTGAAAATTTGACCAATTATAGTGCCATTTGTGCTGTGTATTTTGGCTAGTGAATTGAAGAAATTCTCAGGAGCCCTAATAAATGGGAGTGAAAGGGTACATGAAAAAGTCGAGTCCTTAAAAGTAGGGGTGTGTGCCTGAAACTGAATTTAATTTGTAACTGAGTACCGGATACCTGGTCATATCCTGAGGACATACTGGAGGTTGGCTATTAAATATATTTTAAGATGCATTTTACAGTAGAACTTCACAAACTTGCAACCCTTGGGATTAAGCAGCATACAACTAGTTTAAGTTTGTGAGTGAGATTATTCCAAACACACCACCCTGTCTTACTCCTCTTCACTGTAGTACAGTAAGTCCTCATTTAACGTTGCCCCGATAACGCTGTTTCGTTATACGTAATGTCACTATTCTTAGAAACCCATGATTCGGATAATGTCCCACCGATTCAGTATAACTTCGTCACGGACTACTTTGTACTGCGCATCACCCTCTCTCATCTTGGCGTGCTACTCTCACTCATCAAGCGTCACAGCGTCCCCAAGCGTCGCCAGTCTTTGTGAGGCTTCCACAGCGTTGGTGCGTGTTTAAGTATTTTTGATCTTAATACTGTACTCTAAACATTCGAAATGGCTTCCAAGCACCCATCAACTGCTACTGATGCCAGTGTTATGAAGAAGCAATGTAAGACCATTAGCCTTGCTACAAAAATGGAGGTTTTAAATCGTTTTGAGAAAGGTGAACGTATGGTGGACATTGCTGCTGCGCTAGGTCTAACCCCCACAACTGTACAGGGTACGTACTATCCGGACCAATACACGCTCGTTCCACCACTCTGCCCATCAGTGAGTACAATACAAAATGAGTTAGTTTATTTATATATATACTATTTTCTATAAAAAGGCCATTAAATTTCTGTATATGTAATGTATTTTATGGGTCAAGGGAGGCTGCGGAACGTAACTCCCGTATCTTATCTATTGCTTATGGGGAAAATTGATTCCGTTAACGTTGTTTCCGTTAACATCGCTGTTTTCAGGAACGGAACCATGGTGTAAAGAGAGGACCTACTGTACATTAGGGGGCAGGGAAAAAACACTTTTATTTGAGTTGCAGGCTGCACTTTTCAGGCATCGTTTGTATGGCTGTAACAAACACCTGTGCAAAATTTCATGCCATTTCATGCATACTTACCCTGCCGCATCGCGAACGACTTTTTGTCAACTTTTAGTGTACAGGTAGTTCTGCTATAACGCGATAATTGTGTTCTTGTAAAATATCGTGTTATAGAAAATCGCGTAATAGAAATAACAGGGTTTATGGAGAAAATAGGGTTAGGTGCAGATTACTCGAAATCGAAAAAATTTAGTATTTAGCCTAACACAAAGGATAGCACAGTCTAAATAAATGTTACATTCATATCTAATAATGAAATCATACAGTAAATTTAACACTTTACCTTGAAAAAATATGAATGTAACTTGATGGGGGAGAAGGGTGATTTTGAGGTTGATAACATTGAGCTTCTCTTCAAGTGTTATATCCTTTCTTTTACGATAATCACCGGGAATTCTATCATCAGAGCGCTTTTTGGAGATATTCTTCTTTACCATATTCACAGTTAATACCACAAAATTGGAGAAATAGTAAGCAAAAATCGCGTTATAGCAAACAAGCGTTCGCGTTATACAAATATTGTTCCGAATTCATAAATCGCGTTAGAGCAAATTCGCGTTATCAAAACACGCGTTATAGCAGAACTCCCTGTATACCAAAAATTAGGTGTCATTTAATGTTTTCCAGGATAATGATAAATTTTACATGGGTGACATTGATTTAATTCACATGTTATTTTACAGGTACACCGTATAGAAAATCATTACAAGTTCATATTGAAATTCTTTTTTGTGCGGAACCTTGGCATCATTTTCCTAGACAATAATCTTTGCCTAATATATCCATCTCTCGATTCGTATCCCGTCACTTCAGTGCAAGCTTCAGTCATCACTTTTATGCCTCTCTCGACCGCCTGAGTGCTGTTTGGCCACTTGGGCACCACTAATGGTGTCTCAAGAATGTCATTAACCTGTAGATTTGACAGAGAAGCAATGTAAGGAGGCTCAGTCTTGAGTTCATTCCTCCAGTTAATCATGGAATGATAGTTTTTTGCTTGCCACTTTAGTTTCGGAGTCACCACCTTTCTCATGTTGACTACAGGAGGCACATCCTCATTCCCATCTCCATCTTTACCCTCCTCATCAGTATAGTTTAACAAATTCTCGTCAACAGCAGCATCAGAATCTTCCTCCTCCTCTTCAGATCTGCCAGTGCATTCTTCCTTTTGCTGATTCTCCTCTCTAATTTTTCTTATCATTGAGACAGCTTTTTCTCTAACAGTCATGTCCTCATCTGCACACATACCAAGAAGAAGTTGATCTGTGTGGGCGAAGTATGCATTTCTCTGGACAGCCTTCTTCACTATCGTCTCCTCCTCACTATTCAGGTGTTTCATATATAGCAGGGACTGGAATACGTTCCTTGAGCCGTGTGTTACGTAAGGGTGTATCTTGATGTAAAACCACATTGGAGCACTGAACTTTATTATTGTAATGACAATTCTTTTCAACTCATGGCTGGGTCTTGATGTTGCTACATACAGCCTGAGGATTCTACTCCATAAGGTGTTCCACCTTGACACACAGGGAGGACCTGGCTCAATAGCAGCCAAGTCATCTTCAACAACACCTGTGATAACTCCTTTACAAATCCTATACAGGTATTTCTGATCCCAGGACAGATCTTTCTCCATTTCATCATTAAACACAGGGAAATCAGGGAAACTGACTGGCTGGAAGGCGACAACTGGAAGCTCAGACAAAGACTCCTTGATCTGCTTTCCAATGGGACCACGCCAATGCTCAGGACCACTTGGTTTACCATCATAGTGATAAAAAACTGCTTAACGGTAACTATTTGAATAATTTCAAGTGCGCCAACTTACCCAGGTCTCCCCTACATTACAGTACAGTACAGTAACACAACATTGAGAAATGAAATGAGAAAAGGCTGATAATCAATATAGACATAGCACCATACTCATGTGCAACAAGACAACTTAAATGAAATAAGAGATATGAAAACAAAGTTGATAAACACTGAACAGAACATTGCACCGCCACAGCGGCTGTTTGGCTAGTACTGTAGGTAAATTTAAAAATTTCAGTAGAAAATGCGGCAGACTAAACCTCGACATATCAGCTTCAAATTTGGCATGGAGTCTTAGATATGTATAAGGAACAATGCCTGAAGAGTGCAGCTTTGAGCAAAATTTCACTGCCCCCTACTGTACATGTATCCTCGATAATTATGGGACCCGAAAATCGCTGATCTGGCTTATCATGGTATACTCAATTGCGATCATGTGTACGCTTATCACTGGTCACTGATTGATCTGGGTTATCGCAGAATTGTCATGGGACAGCGGCGGGTCTGTGAGAGCCAGTGGTAGCAGCGACTGCCAAGAGATGGCAGCATGGTTCGTGGCGCCACCTTCCGGCAACAGCATTTATTTTCCCGCACTGTTTTGGTTAGTGTTTGAAGACGGTTTCCTGCTCTGTGCTTGTTTTTGGTGCAATTTTTGTTACTTATTTAACCCTCCACCATGGCACCTGTGAACAAGAGGGTTAAGGTTCCCGATCCAACCAAGTGATGAAGACGTGTGTATTCTCTGGTTGAATGTTCCAATGTTCCCGATAAAGATAAATATGGCTTGGTAACACTCCCAATGTGTGTTACTACTTTCTTCCATACCTCACCCATTGTGTGTTACTACTTCCTTCCACTCCACCTTTCTCCATAATTTAAAATTTATGTAACATAATGAGGAAGGAATATGACGTTCATTTATACTTACCCTCAATTTTGTGGGTAGACATCAGCTGTTCAGTTGTGTCTGGCAATGCTGCAGCCAGTGTTACCAAACAAACCATTTGACGCATCATCACCTCTCCACTTACTATAATGTCTCCCTCCACCACCACCGCCAGACCAGATCAGCGTTATATCCTGTGCCTCTCACCCACTTCCCACCTTCCTTCCTTTTTCCCTCCCACCCACTGCATCTCACCGACACTGCACCTATCACTTGTTCTACTATGACTGTCATTCGTGATACAATATTGTCCAGTACTGTACATTATTTGTTATTCTTTCACTAGTAAAGATATGTTACTAGTATTGTGTCTTTTAGTGTACCTACATATATTTGGGGGTACAGTATATTTTGGTCAGTTAAGGGATGCATTTTTCACATAGTGGGATGAAACTAAGTTTTCCCATATGTTATGTGATTAGATATGTATGGTTTTGCTTATCATGGTAGTTTTTTGGAACCTAACCCCGCAATTATCGAGGATATACCTGTAGAAGCTAAACTAAAGCAAATAAAACATGTAATATAATTATAGTTCTTTATTTTATTTCCTAATTTGAATCATTTCAATCCATATTGAAGTTAGCTGATATTAGTAACCGTGTTCCAAAAGCCATGGTAATGAAGAAAGACGTTGCTGCAAAAAATATTAGACGAAGATGCGAATGGTTGATAAATCAGGCACAACTTCAGAGACCGAATGAAAATATAGGTACCCTGTACATACACCTGGGGTCAAAAGTTTGCTCCCTCACAAACTGAAGCAGTATTGACCCCAAATAAGATAAAATATCACACCCGCACCAGACGACAGTCAGGGTATATAAGAACCCTGGAAGAAGTTGAAATTGTGCAAGAGACTGTGCACCTTGCTGAACTGCCATCAGATAATCACAGATGACCAATGCAAGTGTGGTAAAGGGGTGTAAATTGGTGGTGGTGGTGATGAATACATTTATAATTTGTGTTTTGTGCCCTTGTAATATGTGATATACAGTACTGTGTTCTGTATAAATAATTTTTTATTGTTTTGACTTTCAGGTAGACAATGTAAAGCTGAACCTGGAGAAATTGATGGGAGCCAAGGATAAAGCTGTAACAGCACTCACTGGTGGTATTGCTCACCTTTTTAAAAATAATAAAGTCCTTGGTCTTAAGGTTGGTAATTTGAATGTGTTTTTCCAAATGTAGAAGAAAGCTATTGATTTGCATATTTCTTTTTCAATTTGGGTAGCTAATAGTTTTTAGAAACAATAATTTTCCCACTTATAATTTTAGTTTGTGATTACAGTATAGTCTGCATTTACGCGGTCAATTGAACCCGTGGAGGTCCACGTAAACGAAATATCAGAACATTTGGGATTAATTGAAATAGAGACTGGGCTGACCCCCAAACTCCACTTTTTCCGATACAATATGTACCTTGTAGTAAAAATAACATCTTAATTTTATGATGGTATGCACACACAATTAATATTTAAGAGAAATATCAATAATATTAGGTTTTTTAACACTTACGTTAGTAGAAAAGATGGGTCGGCACACGTGGATGGCGGCTGGTTCCGAGGCAGAGGGCAGATTAGTTGCCCTCCAGTGAATCACTTTCACTACTCGCAGAGGTTTGCAGGGCCTCCCAAACAAACCCCTCAAAGTCATATCCTCACTGTCACTGACTTGGGCTGGCTGTGGTTGTTGTGGGTTGCGGGCGAAGAAGTCCTTAATACTACGTTGACGACTAGCATTGATGTTGTCGAGATAGATCTGGATATACGGCTCCATAACTTTTGTCAGATGGTTATTAGAATCTTCATACCGATGCTTGTCTGGGTCGTTGTCAAGGATGAGCTTAATTTTCTCCCCCAACTCAATGATTTCCTTCACACAATCATGGCTTGGTCCAGGTAATTCAAGGTTTTTCTCGGGTGGTGGGGGTTCAGCGGAAGCCATTGTGAGGGGAATAGCGGGCACAAGAGAGAACTGTATACGCGGACTGAGAACAAAGAGACTGGCCCGACTAGGTCAGCGACTATTACCCTCTGGTGGCAGGGCACGTCATTTTACATTAGACCAATCATACCTAGCGGCGGAGGGAATGCCTGGGTGGTAAGGATGAGTGGCCCAATCACAGTCCGATATGTCATATGACGTCAGTGATAACGTAGGCGCGGCCTAATGCTCACCCCTCGCCGCGCCTCTATCCCGCATATAGTCAAGAATGGACAGTGTGAGTAAAAAATGGCGCGGCGCGTCTGGACCTTGCTGCGTAAATTACCAAATTTACCGTGCAATTAAAACATTTCATTCTGGCAAGGCACCGCGTAAATGACCAAACGCGTAAACAAAAACCGCGTAAATTCAGACTATACTGTACTGAGTTTAGTATTTTTAAGGATAAGGATTAGTAAAGAACATGTCTTCACTTATAAAAAGGGAATTAGTGTATTACTAGGGTAATGCAGACACTCCCTTATTTATTAAGATCCGGTTTATGAAAATCCAAAGTTAGGAAAAAAGTCCCAGGTGTTGATTTGCTGTGTGTGTGTGCGCGCACATGCAAGAAATCCTATGTTACATTTTTATTATTTGTGCACGAAATCCTATACAGGTACACCACCGATTTTCCGGCACCCTTGGTTCCAAAGCCTTGCCGTATTATCCGTTTTGCCCCGAGGTCGGGTAATAATAATCCAACAGTACACCTCTGACCCACTAATTATACACCTCCTGTGTCTCTAAAGCACCGTGGACTGCTATAAATTTAAATTAAACTATGTGATGTTCATACTCAAATTAATCACTATATTACAAGGATTTCAACAATGTAATTTGTATTCTGCTAAGTCTTGTCTGTGACATTTTATATGATAAAAATTTTAACCCTAAATTGCCTTCACCCTGGCTGTGAGGAAGGGGACGGGGGGTTGGCGTGTTGACAGCTGTCAGGGAGGGGAAATAACAAAGTGCGTAGTTATCAAAATAGGAGTTGTTTTAGTTTTCCCCTATAAAATGTCACTGAATTGACTTGACAGTATACAATTTGCATTGCTGTAATTCTTGTAAGATAGTGATTAATTTAAGTATAAACAAACCATAGTTTGCACTAGTCATAAAAATTTTAGGAATTAACTTATTACAGGTTTCCCCCGAGGACAATTATTTCTTTTACTTTTTTCACAGTATATATTTAGGATGGTGTGTGCATGTAAATGAGTAAAAATAAGTGTAGAAAGTTACATATATCTTCCCGAAAATATGAGTTAAAATACTAGTACAGTGAACCCTCACTTTACGGGGTTAATTCAACCCACAGGGTACCGCGGAAAGTGAGAAACACGTAAAGTGAACAACATAACATATGGAATTAAATGAAATAGAGACCGGCTGACCCCCAAACTCCACTTTTTCCGACACAATACTTATGTTATAGTAAAAATAACATCTTAATTTTATGATGGTACATGCACACAATTAATACTTAAGAGAAATAGAGAAATACAGTCGCCAAGTTAATGTCCATTCAAATAATGGACTCAACTCCCTCCCCTTCTTCTCACACTACACTCGCTGGCTCTTCCCTCTGAGAAATTTTGGGGGGAAACCACTAGATTTTAAGGTATAGTAATAAATAATACCTCAAACTAAAGTTAGGATAATATAATTGACATTGCTGAATTCCTTGTGAGACCAGGAATATTTTGAATATAAATGTCATATATTTTGCACAAAAGATAACATATTTACTCAGAGTAAGCAAAATACTTACGGTACATTAGATCTAAAATTTGTATGTCAAATGCAAAATCTATGATGTTAATATACAAAATGATCATCAAATTGTAAGAATTCCAGCAATGTAAATTATATTCTGGCCGGGTAATTGTATGAATTTTATGAGCAAAAACAAATATCTTCAGTTAATAAAAAAAAAAAAAATATTCTTCACGACACTGTTAATCAAAGTACCCCACCTTGCCTCCCCCCCACTTCCAACTGCGCCAGATGGTCAGTCGGTCCCTCCCTACCAGATAAATGTGTGGGAGAAACCAGAATATTTACCTTTTTAGTAATAAATATTACCTCAGACTAAAGTTAGGATAATATAATTGACATTGCTGGATTCCTTGTAAGACCAGGAATATTTTGAATATAAATGTCATATATTTTGCACAAAAGATAACATATTTACTCAGAGTAAACAAAATACTTACATTAGATCTAAAATTTGTATGTTTTATGTAAAATCTATGATGTTTATATTCAAAATGATCATCTAATTGTAAGAATTCCAGCAATGTAATTTATATTCTGGCCCGGTATTTTGTATGAATTTTATGAGCTAAAACAAATATCTTCAATAAATAAACAAAATATACTTACCGAAATCCTTCAATAAATAAACAAAATATACTTACCGAAATACTCTGTCAATCAGAATACCTCACCTCCCCCCCTCTTCCCACCTGCTCCCTGGGTCCCTCCCTCCCTCCCTACCCCTCACCCCCACCTTCCCTCCCTACCAGAGAAATGATTGGGTTATAACAGTATATTTACATTTTTAGTAATAAACAATACCTCCGACTAAAGTTAGGATAATATAATTGACATTGCTGGATTCCTTGCAAGACCAGGAATATTTTGAATATACACTTCATATATTTTGCTCAAAAGATAACATATTTGCTCTGAGTAAACAAAGTACTTGCATTAGATCTAAAATTTGTATGTCTAATGCAAAATCTATGATGCTTATATTCAAAATGATCATCAAATTGTAAGAATTCCAGCAATGTAAATTATATTCTGGCCGGATAATTTGTATGAATTTTATGAGCTAAATAAAAAAATTATACTTCACCCGCGTAAAGGGGTACACGCACCGCGGAATGTGAGCATTCCGGTTTCGGCAGGGTACCGCGTAAACGTGGAAACGCGGAATGTGGGACCGCGTAAAGCAAGGGTTGACTGTACACAAATGTACTACACTAGACTAAAATTGATATCTCTTGTGCAAACTATGTGATGTTTATACTCAAATTAATCACTATATTACATGGATTGCAGCAATGCAATTTATATTCTGCTAAGTCTAGTTTGCGTGAAAAGTTAGTTCGTCTGCTGGAAAAAAAATGCATATTTACTGTTATGTTATGTAAATATAGTCAAGTAACATTTACCACTTCAATTAATACTTTGTTATGTTCCCTTTGCACTTAAGGCAGTCCTTTAGCAAGGTTTTGCAAGAGTTCAGGTCGTAAGTTAGCCCAGATATCCTTGATAGCTGCCTCTAGCTTCGGGATTGGTGATGTGTCAGTGTTGCGCAAACGAAGCTTAACAATGGACCACAAATTTTCTATTGGGTTGAGATCTGGGCTACTTCCAGGCCAGTCATTAAAGAAAGGTACCTCACAGTTTTTGAGCCACTGCAGGGTTGTTATGATTTAAATCACATGATTTAAATCGATTTAAATCAGAGTAAAAAAATCATGATTTAAATCAAAATGATTTTTTTTCTAATAACTGTTTTCTCATCACCTCTTCCAAGCACCTCACTTTCAAAAGCTTCTTCATTATCATCTCTAGTTAAAGATATATCAGATGCTCCTTCTCCCTCACCATTTAAGAGAGATAAGAGGGATAGTTCTATGGAACAAAGAAGCATAACTGGTTTTGTGATAAAAACTACTCAGTCTGAAAAAGTCACTTTGGATCAGCAAGTTGCTAATTATATACAGTATATGCAACAAATTCCCCCTTCCGAACAGTGGAGCATGAAGAGTTTATCAAGATGATTAAATGCTAAGACCAGCATATGTTCCACCTAATAGACATCAAATTGGAGGGTCTCTTTTTGGATCAAGCCTACGATTCAGTGATTAAGACTTATTCAGAAGAACTTAGTGGGAAAACAGTTTGCATGGCCATGGATGGATGGCGTAATGTCCATAATGAGCCTATAGTATGTATAACTTTAACAGCGGACAACCGTATTTATCTTGTTGACTCTATAGACACAGAATCAAGACACAGCTGAATATCTGTTGAAATTAGCTGAATGTGCTACAAAAATGTGTGAAGACAAATTTGGATGTGCAGTAAGAAGCTGTGTAACAGATAATGCTGCTAATATGGCAAAAATGAGAAGTGAATTCGGACAAGAT